TTGATTGGGGGGGCGTGTTGCAATCAGGTTTCTCGTTTCTGGTTTCGCCACTTGTGAAGGCACTCTCACCTGTGTTCTGTTTACCTGTTCTATTAGCAGTTTTTGCTGCTCAGCTAGTTGTTTCATAAGTTCCTCCTGCCCCTCCGTTATTTGTCGAATCCATCCATTCTGACCATCCTGGGGTAGTGACAGCCCCACGTTGGGCGCCAATATGTAAAGGTTCAGTTGTCGGGGCTGTCGGCACTTCTAATAAATACCAGAGGATTGCAGCGCGACACTCCGCTGAAACTGCTTCTAAAACTCTAGTTACACAGTATCGCCCCCGTCAGACTGACAGTTCTGTACCTGCCCCTCAACCTCTGATGGCGTTGTACCAGCCTCAAAGCCTACCTTGTCAACGTCAGTCCTTTCGTAAAGGCCAGCGAAAGGGTAAGCAATATTGACAACTACCTCTGCCTCTTTTTTCTGACATTTCTCTTTGCCCACTGAACTCTACCAGACTGGCCCCATTTTTCCATCGTTGGCAAGCCATTACATCAGATAAATGGGTTCTATCCATCATAGCGTCTGGCTACCTCATAGAATTTTCCAATCTACCTCCCTTGGGGTTTATTCGGTACACCCCCTATTCTTCTGCTCTTCAGGATGTTACCAAACTTCTCCAAAAGCACGCCATTCTTCCGGTACCTATCTTGGACTCCCTCAACGGTTTTTACTCAAAATACTTTACTGTTCCTAAAAAAGATGGAGGCCTCCACCCCATCCTTGATCTTACTCACCTCAACCGTTTCATATCTCCCCGTAAGTTCCACATGCTTAGACTGGACTCTATTATCCCTTTGCTTTTGCAGGGGGACTGGTTCATAATTATCGACCTGCAGGACACTTATTTTCACATCTCCATTCATCTGGTCCATCAGAAATTCCTCCCGTTCGGGCTCTCTACGGCCCCCCGGACTTTCACCAAGTGCATGGCACCGGTAGCTGCCTTCCTCCGGCTGCAGGGAATAAACATTTATCCCTACATCGACAACTGGTTGATAGTGGCGACATTGTACCTCGATGCCATAAAAGCACGAGAAACAATCCTCCATACGCTTCAAAGCCTCGGTCTCAAGATCAACCTCGAAAAGTCTCACTTGATCCCAAAACAGACGGCAAAGTTCATAGGTATGGAGGTAGACTCCATCCGTGCAAGAGCTTTCCTGCCTCCAGACAGAATCAGGAAAATTCAAAAGGCTGTCCGCCTTTTCCAAACACATCACTCTGTTTCGGCGCATCACGCCCAAAGCCTCCTAGGTCTCATGGCATCGACGACGGCCATCGTCCAACACGCCAGGCTCAAAATGAGGTCCCTGCAGGCATGGTTCCTTTCTCTATTCAGTCCAATCACAGATCCTCCATCTGCTCTACTGCCGGTGACACAGGAGCTAGCCTCCCAGCTCAATTGGTGGACTTGCCCAGACAACCTCCTCATCGGCAGACCCTTCTCCCCCCCGAGACCTTCCATACAGGTCACAACCGACGCCAGCCCCCACGGGATGGGGCACCCATTGCCTTCAACACACAATCCACAGACACTGGTCAAAACAAGAACTGCCACTTCACATAAACCATCTAGAACTGCTGGCAATCATCAAAGCATTTCACACCTTCCTTCTCCTTATTCAAGGACAAGTAGTGCAGTTGGCAACAGACAACACCACTTCTCTCTTCTATGTCAACAAGGAAGGGGGCACCCACTCCCCTTCCTAGCTCTACCTAGCTGTCGACCTTTGGGAGTGGTGCTATTCCCATCATGTTTTCCCTATCGCCGTCCACATTTCCACTGATGACAACACCTTGGCAGACCACCTCAGCCGACTACCAATGAGAACGCACGAATGGACTCTGAACGATGTAATGTTTCAGTGGCTGTGCCGACGATGGGGCACGCCTTCAATAGACCTTTTTGCATCCGATGCCAACAAGAAATGTCCCCGATTCTGCTCCAGAGCTCCTCTCTGGGAGACACATTCCTGATGGACTGGTCCCAAGATCTCCTCTACGTATTTCCCCCTCTGCCTCTCATCCAGATGGTAATTATCCGTCTCTGACAGGACGGGGCCAGTGCGACCCTGATAGCCCCGTACTGGCCCCGCCAGCCATGGTTCACTCACCTGGTCTCGATGTCGTCGGACATGCTCCGCCTTCCTCTCTGCCCAGATCTCCTCGACCACGGCCTCGTTCTTCACCCATACGTCGCCTCTCTCAGTCTTGCAGCTTGGAGAATACTCCCGACATCATGAATGTTCTCCTTCGAGACCAAAAACCTTCCACTACCCTCCTATTTGAGAATAAATGGAAGTCCTTTCTAAAATATACTCATGACAATGAATTACCTGCTATCCCTGTCTCTTTAAAGACCCTACTAGCTTACCTCCTGCACCTCTTTAGTTTCGGCCTTTCCCAGTCCACACTAAAGGTCTACCTTTCGGCCATTATGGCTCATCAACCGGACGAATCTCCCTCCTCAAAGTTGTTTTCTCACCCAACTGTCAAAAAGTTACTCAAAGGGCTCAACAACATTCGCCCTCCCCAACAGCATATCACCCCTCAGTGGTCACTGCAATGTGATCAAGGTTCTTAATGCCTTGATGCGGCCTCCATTCGAGCCCATGGCATCCATTGACCTCAAATTCTTAACCCTTAAATCGGCCTTCCTTGTTGCGATCACATCAGCCAAACGAGCTTGTGAACTTGCCGCTCTTCGAGCTGATCCTCTCTTTATCCAGTTTCATCCCGATAAAGTGACTCTTTACTTTGATGTTTCCTTCCTCCCGAAGGTGGTCTCCGACTTCCACCTCAACCAACCCATCATTCTACCATGCTTCTTCAAATCTCCTTCCTCGTCCCTCGAACATATGCTCCATAACCTCGATGTCAGGCATGCCCTGGCCTTCTACGTCGAACAGACAAAAACTTTCAGAAAGTCCAATAAACTTTTTCTTTGCTTTCATGGCCCACACAAAGGGGCCCCAGCCTCCTCTCAATCCATAGCACGTTGGATTGTACAGACTACAGTGGGGTCTCTACTTAAGAACGTCCCTACTTAAGAACAATCCAACTTAAGAACAGCTCCATTTGCTAAATTTTGCTTCTACTTGAGAACAGAAATCCAAGATAAGAACAGGAAAAAAAAA